GCTGGAGCCCAGCGAAAGCCTGTTTCGCGCCTCTTCTCCTGAAAAGCCGTAGCCAAGCTTTCGCGCTTCTAGAGAGCAATCCTCGAAAAGGTTATTCACAGAGTTCACATGTACCATTTATTAAATTTTATCACCCTAAAATAACATTCGCCTGATAACTTTCGTCAGTTTGCACTCAGTTCCTGCGGTGCATCCGGTCTCAATCATGACCAAAATCGATACAGGCCGACCTCTAAGGCCATCGATTGACCAGAACACATGTAAGTTAAACAGATGTTTAGTGATCTGGTTACCCGACAAATTCCTTTACCATGAGTGTGGGAAAGAAGTAAGAATGATTGAGCCAGATTGCGTGTACAATAATAAGGACGTCAGATACAACGGATTTAGTAATAATTGTTCTCTTTAGAATTGTTCGTCGTTGGCCCAGTCAGTCAATAAACAACAATCAAACTACGGTGGCCCAGGGATCTTTTCCTTAGTATATATAATAGATTCCTAAGATTGTCTGAAATGTTTCGATACCAGAGTTAGCACATCAGAGATGCGAAGGCCCAATGTAAGCGCGAGCGAAATCAGAAGCGAGAGTCGAAGCACCTGACCAAGTGGTTTTGTAGTTCCTCGTATTCAAACCAAAAACGATTATGCAATTGACGAAGCACGGAGTGTTATAATGGACGCAAAATAATGGTACAAACAGCAAAGTTGTCCGTCGAATGTAAGACGTGGTGTGCAATTCAACACCTGAAACGCCTGGTGGCACGTCAAATGCACAGGGTTTACAGGACGACCAGGTAGGCCAAATAGCTAACTCTCTTGACCCGTTGTTCTACGCCAGGTGCTTCTATCTTATTTGTGCAATGGATACCACAGCTAAGAAGAGAGCCACCGAAAAGAAACCAATTCTCCATTGCTGAATCGGAAAAGACCACGTTTGTCACGTTTTGATGGGGTACTGGACGCGAAACAGGACCTCCTTTCTAAAGCGCTGGAGGATGAGAAGACGAGAAAAACGTGGCGGCATAGACAAAAGGTGAAAAAGAACGTTTTCGCGGAATCAGTTGCTTTTTCTATCCTCACTAAGCGTGCCTATCAAAGTGACACGAAAGTGGTCGCCAGCCTGAAATCCGTGGGCCATGTAGCGCGTCCGGCGGTGCTTGACCTATTTCTCCAGGAGTATCGGCAGGAGTATCTTACATATTGATAACAGGTTTGGTCAACAGGTATTTCACCGACGATCCAGCAAATGCACGGCAAGGCTATGGTAATAAGGTTTTCTAGCTCAGAGCGCACTCTTCCTTTAGGCAAAATTTTCTCATTTCGGATAGTAGCTGCGTAGAATAACCCTCCTCCGACTTCTTGTAAGGACCATTTCAAAGCACGTTTGGACGCTTTTCTATGTGAGTTCTCCTACTGACCATCTTACTGTCCCGCGCTGGAAGACTTTGGAGGAGTGCTACGCCGTTTCTTCTCTTGTGCATTTCAGGTGATTGGTGACCACTGAACGAAAAGAACAAAAGGCAACCGGGAAAGTTGGCAAGAGCCTCGATACTGTGTGTTAGTCTTCATGATTAGCGCTCCCATGATTAACGCGCCCATTCGACCCGGGCATAGGGCAGGTAACGATCCCCGGCCCGACTCAATCTGCGTCAACTCTTACGTCTAACCCAGATCAAAACACCACAAAAATGCGTGCAACAACTGAGGAAAAATTTGGACGATAAGGAGATGTCCACAATCGTGAGTATGTTAGTGCGATGATGATATGGCAACGCCGTACTCAGCCTAATGGCACTCCCGCATCTATTTTCTCGCTTACCTCAAATGTCACATTTCGCCTGTAATTGCAACTACGGACATATTTTTCGCCTGGCCCTATCCGCATCTGGGCGAGTTCATTCTCACCCACTGAACCGTTCGTTCGGATTTAACGTACCTGCTTTCTCGCTAGCCCCTTCCACAAGTTCGATTTCATCTACGGTGTTAGTTTGGCCTTATGCTTTGGCACTCATCTCCCTACCGAAAATATCTCTTACACCTGACTACCCCACAATATCGATACCAGTGAGCTCACTTGGTCTCGAAGTAAGCCGTATTTTAATACCAATCTCATCATTTGTCCCCACTTCGAATTTATCCACCCCTATCTCCATATCTGCTTCTTATGACCCTGGTCATCCGCTCAACCACCCAAGGTCACTCATAATCAGCAATGATTTTTATTTCCAGTTCAGGTCAGCCAGCATCATTTTTGGACTGTTCGTCGTCCAAGTTTTCCGGTTTCCACATGTGGCTTGACTTTTCAAGTGATACGCGTGACGCGTTGGTTATAATTTCTTCCCCGCCGTGTCGTCATCTGTCGCTTCCAGGTTGTACCGATCTAACCATTCCTCAATTGGCATGTCCCTTGCAAATTATCAAATAACACTAATATCACAAATGCTCCCTCTTCTTTGGCGTTGATGCCACTTTTGAGTTTTCAATCCCGTTCAGATTTATGATTCATTGCAGACGCATCGTTAATAGCCCTGAAGATTGTGAAGGCGATGTCTTGCAGAATTGCTCTGCAGATAAGCATTCATGAAATTTTGTTGTTTCAGCTCTTCCGTGCAGTAGTTAAGGAGGGAAAAGAAAGAAAAATGATGACAGACAAATCGACCTCATTTAGGATGGCTGGTGCTAGCCGCTTTATAGTTAGGACGATAGAGGCACACGAACCATCGGCTCTCTTTCTCATACGGATCGTCTGATTTGTTCTTCGTTGTTCTGCGTTGGAGTTGATGCCCCATCTGGCATTAACCCTGCTTTGGCATCTTCGGAAATCTTGCTTTCCTTTGGTGCGCCTGCCTTCTTCGGAAATCTTGCTTTCCTTCGGTGCACCTGCCTTCTTTTCCTCATCCGAAGCCATTTGGAGGCAAGAAACTGAATGGAATGAAGCAGTCGGTCAAGACGTTCGGCAGAGAAAAGATGAGATTGCGGATGCAGGTTGCGAAAGCTGTTTTCGGCTGCTACATAATGCAGCGCTATTTTCACTCGCAGCAAGCGATCACTGTAACTGGTGAAGACGATTTCTAAACACACCCGGCACATGTTACACCGAGTGACCTGCTTTGATAACGCAGCTGAGTAAGCAACTGTGCAGCGGACAGTAATCACGTAGGTTTTGCCACGATTTAAAAATCCTGTGGAGAACCGACCACTGGTTTGTCTCTAACTTTATTGCTCTTAGGTGTTACACCATGGTGTACAGGGTGCACTCAAAAGTGGGCCATTTATGCACGGCGCGGGATGGTGCATTACTTGAACGTGACCAATAACCATCTGGGGAACGCCAACATGCATTTGAAGGGGCATGTTTGCCAAGCCAATAGCCCCGAGCGCGCCATCCAGAAGAGCTCTCAGCACAGCAAATGGCTCATGCGCAAGTATGAGATGCGCACCAGTCATTGCTGTGACCACCGAGAATTTTGCGAGGAAAACAAACAAGTTCCATCTGTGTTTTCTCTGCTGACGACGTATTCCGCCAATCAGTTTCACACACACATTTGCATGTGCTCGCCAAATCTGATACACTATCAGACAGATCGATTCAAGATGAGAAACCCAGTTATTTTGTGGTACAAATCTCAAAATGTTCTCAAACGGTTGACACCTCAGCTGAAACCTGCGCGTTCACCTTTTGCCAATCTATAAGGCTATTCTGCGTACGCGTGTTCTCTGCATCCAGCGACCACTGGTTCCCCTACGGTAAGTTAATTAGGCAAATATACAATGCCCAGGTAAATTTCCAATCCATCGTCAGTGGCTGGCCGAACACGATCTACCAGAAGGTGGCGTAGCTGTATCTCTGGTCTGCAGACCTCAGCCATCACCAGCAGAAGGTTTAGATAAGCAGCTGGAATGTGTAGTTAGCCAACTAAAGTTGCTAGAGCCTTGTAGATCTGCCAGATACATGGAGCAGCTAATTGTCCAAACGCAGCTAACGGAACGTCAAAATTCATGATTACGCCTTTTGAGCGATTGGCTGAACTGAACGACATATATAGAACGATTTCAAAATTAGACGATGTTCGGACACCAAAAAGTAGAAAAACGAGCAATGCTTCTGCCGTCTAGCATGTGAATGGAGCCTCCAGATAACAAGGTTGAGTAGATGTTCACGTGCTGCAGTGTGCGGGTCTTCGGCTCATGAGCTTTCCTTCCGTTTTCCATCCACAAAATTTGTCGCGAGCACCTGCCTTTGGAGGAACACAGTCCCCTGTTGCTTGTATAGCGTACATACTGCATCAAGCACGCTTATTAGCAATTCACCTCGACCTGCTGTTCTCACCGGGCTATCTTTGGACTTGAACTATTTCGTGTAACAGATGGGTAGAATTTCCCATAATTTGATGTCTGGATTATCGTACTTATGCACGGATCGCATTTATGACTGCTTGGACGGTTTTCCACCTCGCGGATCTGGTAGCATGCACGAGGGATGAAACCCTCGGGTGATGGCCGGTTACGCCTTGCAGGGAGGGTCACCCTGTTACGTTGCACTATGTTGCGTTCATACAACTGCCACCCCTCCAGTAGAAGGGACGCACCGCTGGTCGCCCCTGGTTCTGAGACTGGTCTTTAAATTCAGGAAATTAAATAGAACACTGCCTTGTTCTGTTTGTTGCTACCGGTGTTGGACACGCTTCGGTTGAGTTTTCTGGCAACGCTACAAACTGCGGGTGAAAAGAAAAT